TCATTTTATGATTCTATGATTCTACCTACAGCAATGGGGTATCCACAGCTTCTCTGGGCAGCCAGTACCTCACAGACCTTTGAGTAAAGAACTTTTTCCTAACATTTGACCTAAATATCCCCTCTTTTAGTTTAAAGCCATTCCCCCTTGTCCTATCACTGTCAGTAAAAAGTCACTCTCCCTCCTCCTTTAATTACTAGAAGCCACAATAGGGTCTCCCTAAAGCCTTCTCCAGGTTGAACAAGTCCAGCTCCCTCAACTTTTCTTCATAGGGGAGTTGCTCCAGCCCTTTCATCATCTTCACAAATGTGATGCCACTTTATTTTTTTTTCCCTTTGGTTTATTCAGTTCAGCATTCAGTTGTGATCTTTTTTCATAATTCTTTTATGTATTTTTTTAAACTGTTATTTCATAACAAACAGCAGATGCTTCCAGGACTTATTTTAGAAACTGACCTTTTAAGCAGAGGCCCAGCAGCCAGAGAAAATGGCATTAGAAGACGTTACAGTGTGCTCTCTGGTATTATGACATGGCAGCTTTGTAGGATCTGCCTCTGAGAAGTGGATCTTTCCCAGCAGCCACTCTGACTATTCACAGGGTAAGGCACACTGTGAAAATACCCAGTTCTTCCATTATTTCTCCTGAGAACTGCTTCTCACCCGAACAGATGAAGAATCACTTCCTCATCACGCAGCTCCCCAGCTCAGCAATTACGAGGCTCAGACGTCAGAAGTCAAACTTGTCATTCTGGGAATAAAGCATTTGTCACTCATCTGTCAGGAGCTAAACACTTGAATCAAAAAGAACCAATGCTTTTCCCTTTGTTCCCTTTAAATGAAGGAGAGAGCTTAATGTAAATTTGTACTAACTTCACATGTTCATTAGATTCACATTATTTTCCTGAATGTCCCAGCAAAGACTGGAGGAAAAGGAGCAGTGAGCAGTGCCTACCGGTTTAACAAAACAAAACCATTTCTCTACAATTGATTAGTGATGCAGCTGTAGTTCCTTGATGCATTTTCTCTTGAGGCAAAGCTGGTTTAACAGGGAACCAGCCCCATTCTCTGTCTGATCTGCTTTTCTTCCCACAAACAGCCTCTCAGCTGTAGCAGCCTGATTACCTGTGGAGCTTTCTCATTGAATTCAAGAACAATCTGTATTAGCTTGTTACATTTGCTTTTAATATGCAGCCCAAATTACAGAGGGACTGGCAACCCAGCAAGTAGACATCACTATAGAAGTAGCTATAAATCATGACAGGCATCAGCAAAGACAGGAACTTCTTCAGCCAGTTTTACCATCAGAGAAAATACATGGTGTATTTAGTCCAGTGAGACATGAGAAATACAGTACCATTAAGTATCTGTTCTCCCAGTGAAGCAGTGTGAGAGCTCTATCCTAAAGCCCTAGAGAGGGGCTTTACTACAGCAAAGGGCAACTAGTCAAATGTCTCCGTTTCCTGTGTCTTCCTGTGATTCACCCTTCACACTTTTTCTATTAAGTCCACCCTTCCGGAGGAGCTTTAATTCACAAATTGCTATGCAAATCATGTTTCTAAATTTTTAGCTGTACTTGTCAGTCATTGCTATGTCCCAAGTTACACAACAGGATAAAAACAGAAGTTATGTGTATGTGCGTGCACAGATGGCATGTTCCTAATGTTTAAGATGCAGTACAACCCCAGCCTCAACAGTTGTATTGGTACAAATTATTTATTAAAAACATCCCAAGGAGATGTTTTTCCAACTGTTTCTGATGTTCATTTCATAGCTGCAAGGATCAGCCTTTTCCTGGGATGCCAGATTTTCCCATCTGCCTTCCTTCTTCCCTTGGAAAGCTATTACAGTCTGTTCTAATGGAAAACTGGAAGGTGTTCTTTATTCTTTCTTTGACCTCCTGAGGCCAGTTCTGTTCCTCCTAAGACTGGCTCTGCTCCATCCTTCCTTCTTCTCTATAAATTCCACTGGTTAAAAATAAGTACAGACAGAAACTTGATTCTGCCTTGTAAGAACAATCGTTTTACCCACTCTGAGACCTTTAAGAAGGTTTAATCAAATCTAAAGCATCAACATGTGTCAATTACTGTTCAGTGGATGTTGCATAAGATTGGTAAAACACAGTCTTGAACAGAAGATTGAACAGAGATCTTGAACAGCAATGGCTATGACGCTCTCAGCTTGCGTTGCCACTTTTTCAGGCTTTCAGACTACAATGATTAAATGATGTATCCACAGGCACTATGGTCTTTGGTAATAACATTTACTATGTATTTGTAAATAAATATATGCTTAAACAGAGCAGAATGTGCGTTGTTTTTGGATATGTGCTCCAGTACTGTAATGTCTGCCAGCAAACTGAAGCTGTGGTTGCTAACTCAGTGTGGCCACAGACCCAGCAGCAGGGGGAGAGCTGAGAACAGCATCACAGCCGTCTTCCTTTGCCAGGGTACCAGCATCCTCAGCCATGCTTTGTATTGTAACTCAGATGCCTGCAGATCAGCATGTTTGGAATTCTTTAGGAGGTCAGCTGACCACCAATTTCCTGGATGTTTTTGGCTTGTGATAGTTATCCTACCCTTGTAATTATTTTGTTTTTACATGTAATTAATTTTATTCTTCATTTTGTCAACATACTGATGGTATTTTTAACTTTCAGCCCATTCCTGGCAGCTTTTTACTTGCGAATCATATACTTCTCAAACAGTAGAATTCAGTTATTCTACAACATTAGCCCTAAACAATAAAAATTAATTTTAAAAGCCTTTAGGGCTTCTCTTCAGAAGCCTTCCAGAAGGTACTTGCCAAGATTGAACTACCTTAGCTGCATGATTAAAAATACTCCTTTCCCTGTTTTAAAAAGCAATTCTGCTCACTTCATACAGTTCAGTACAAACATTATGGAACCAGCACTGTCTTAAACTCCTGTCAGGAGCAACGCCTTGAATGCACTTAGCTAAACACTACTGGAAAGATCATGGATGTTGGCTTTCAGTTCCCCACACTGCATCTTTCTGTAGCTCAGAGGTCTCACTGAGCTGTATATTCTGAAGTTTACAAGCCATCAACTTCCGTGCCTCTGTTAAATGTTGTGGGAAGTATGAAGATTCTTCTGTAAAATAACATTCATATGAGCTCTTAATCCACTGTCTCCTCCCTAATTCATTTTTCTATTGTCAGTGAGTGTTTTTTGAGGGTTTCAGGCAGACTCCTTATTTTGCTATATGCACTGTTTAGCTTGTTTTTGCCTGTTTCTAATCCAGTGTTGAGTTGTTCTGGCATTAGGGCAAGATGTTCATGTGCTGTGCCCTGGCTCTTGCTGAGTTGCCCCCCTCCCCATCAGTTTTAAAAAGAGGCTGGCACTTCCTTCCTCTTTTTCCATGTGATTCTGCATCTGCCAAGTTTTTTAATGTTTCTGTTGATGACACCCACAAAAAGGGTATAAGGCAATTTCTGAAATTGTATATATATAATATTCTGAAATAAAACTTTCAGACATATTTACCATTCTGCAGTGGTCTACTGCTTTTCATGTAGGGATTTTGGAAAACTTTAGTGGAATGCAGTATGTACTATAGAATCAGAGAATCGAGGTTGGATAAACCACTAAGATAATCTAGTCCAACCATCAGCCCATCACCACCATGCCCACTAACCATGTTACTCAATGTGACGTTTGCCCTTTTCCAGCTGATTTTTGCCAGGTTTCAATAAGAAATCTAGCAGAACTAGGAGTACGTCTGTAGCTTTTTCCTTACTAACTGCTCTTCCCTGCCTGGAAGTGGACTGAAAAGCAGCATTTATTTTTATACATAATGGTATGAAATTACCATTTTATAGCTGGGAATTTGAAATACGCAGCACTGCGTAACACAAAGACCAAGTTCAGACAACAGCTGTGCAGCCTGGCCAGCAGTGAAACCTATGTTTACACAATCTGAATCCACTGCACTATTTGCTGGCCAAGTCAAAATCTGTGCCTGAATCATACCACTACAATATAAAAAGGCCGGCAGTGACTCCAGCGCTTCTGGAAGCTCACATTTTCAGCTGCAGCTCTGTTTTGCATTTTTGCTTGGTGCTTCTAGTTATTCCTGTATGGCACAATCTGGACTTTGTGTCCTTTCTACTTCCTCATGCTTTGCCATTTCCTAAGCTCCTGTGCATGGTTTTCACTTTTTTTTTTTTTTTTTTTTTTTAATTTATTTTTTTTTTATGGGCAATCAGCAATTTCTGAGATCCCCAAAGAGAGCTCAGCTTTGTTTCCAGCCTAAACTGGCGACTAGGCGCTGCAGTTTGCTAGCTTTGAGCCTCCTAAGACTCAGCGCCTGCCAGATGCCTCGACCCTTTTGCAACACAAAAGGATAACTATCTTTCTCAGCAACCTATCAGGTGTGATAAACTCTCCCCCCCAGAGGTGTGAGGGGTGTCCCGCTGCCTGTGTCCTTCATTCCTCCTCAGCCAGCACTCCTCATTCACACCCCATTGACATCTCTTCACATTCAGGGCAATGTCTTGGGTTGTTTGTTTTTATTTTTCCCCCAAATCGTGCAGCAGGACCGGCATTCAGACCGCTGGGAGCTGCATTGGTGCTGCCGGCTGCTCTGTCTGCGGGAGGAAGAGCTGTGGCCGGCAGACCGCTTCCTTTCATTCACCGCGATCTCACTGGCAGGGATTTGTTTTATTTCGCATTATTTTCTCTTTTATTTCGGTCAACCTCGGCAATGACTCGGAAACAAACAACCAACCAACCCGAAGGCAACAAGAGTTGTTTTATTTCCCCTTGTTTTTCCACAGGTTTGCTTCTCCTCGTCCTCAGCACCCCGCCGGGCACGGAGGCGGGCACTCCGTCTTCAGCGCCGCCCCCGCTCCCGCGTCCCTCCCGCCTTCCGAAGGCCGAGAGGCGGCAGCGGCAGTGCGGGCTGCCCCGGCGGGCTGAGCTGCCCGGAGCTGCGGCGGCAGGTGGGGAGCGGGGCCTGGAGGGGGCTCGGGGGGCCGCCCGACCTCAGCGCCCCGTTGCTTCGGGGTACGGCGACAACGATGAACGTGTCCCCGTCGTGTCTGTCCATGCAGTGGCTGGGAGCATTCAGGCAGCGCGGCTCCGGAAAGGTGAGGAGGAGAGGCTGCGGTGGGGCTTCATCCCCAGCGTGGCTTTCGGCTGGGCTAAATACCGAGGTTTTAAAAGCAGGTCTGAATTCTAACGCGTTCCCGATATTGAGGAGGTGGGAGGAAAAGCCCGACTGCTTTATGTTATGGAGAATGTGGTTTACTACGTGCAGCTCTGTTGGCTTGTTTTCTTCGGAGTGTTCCTCAATTACTTGTTGCTGTTTGGTAGTTCAGTAGAAAGAGCTTTTTCTGTGGCATAGCTGAAGTCGCAGCATCCTGGAAGAAAATGGCAATCTTTGATCAGTATTCTCAGAACGCCGGTTGCTTGTGATGTGAGCTAAGAGATGGGAGGGCTTCGTTTTGTTTTTTGGAGATAAAATCTTGAAACTCGGCAGTTCATGCCTGCCCATAATATCCGTGTGTTCAGTCTGGTGTCACAGAACCACTTAGCTGCTGGCTTTACAATCTGACCAGGTGAAAAAGTGTGGTTTATTTTTAAAAAATTCTGCTTTTTCTTTTTTTTTTTTTCATTATGATTATTATTTTTAAATGAGTTCCTGTAAGAACAGTACGATGGCTTGGGTTGGAAAGGACCTCAGGGATCATCGAGTTCTAACCTCCCTGTCACAGGCAGGGCTGCCAGCTGCTAGACCAAGTACTAAACCAGGCTGCCCAGGGCCCCATCCAGCCTGGCCTTAACCCAGGGATGGGGCATCCACAGCATCTCCGGGCAGCCTGTTCCAGCACCTCACCATTCTCTCAGTAAAAAACTTCCCCCTGATCTAAATTTCCCCTCTTTTAGCTTAAAACCATTCCCCCTTGTCCTATCACTGTCTACCCATGTAAGAAGTTGATTTCCCTCGTGTTGATAAACTCCCTTTAAATATTGGAAGGCAATATTGTAAGAAGTATTTTATCAAGTGTTATCAGTAATATATGTGTAAAGTTTGCTTGCACAATGTTTTGTCTCTTTTAGAAAGGGAAAAATAAAGGCCCAATCAGATACCAAACAGAATATTTTTCTAAGTGCTGACACTGAATATTTGCGATTCAGCATGCTTGCTCTGAAGCGTTATTCTTCTGTTGAAAGGGAAATGCTTTGCGGTTTGTAGTTTGGAAACTTCTGCTTTCCATGAGTCTGAGGGTATCTGTGCTAAATCTGACATCTAGATCACCTCACTCTCCCACAGGACTATGAAAAAGGAAACGTGGGCTGGCAGAGGGCAGCTACCCTTCTTGTTCCTTTCTCTTTGTATGGGATCACAGTGATCCCATATGTGGTCCTTTAGACACTTCTGCATGGAAACATCTAACTGTGATACAGTATGTTCTTCAGAACCAGGCATCCTCAGGGTCAGATTGGATCAGAATGCGACCCTGGACAGCTTGATCTAGTGGCTAGCTGCCCTGCCCACAGCAGGGGATTGGAACTGGATGGGCTTTAAGGTCCCTTCCAACCTTAGCCATTCTATGAAGGAAGGAGAGGTTAATGCATGACCCTTACTAGGAATTTGCAGTTTTAAGCAGGAGACCTGTTGCTTTGACGGTGCAGGTGTACCTTGCTTCCTTATGGAAGTATTTCAGTGCATCTTACTTCCCTCAGTACTTGTGCTAAACTGCTTGCCCTGATTCAGCTCATGCTGGTTTGTCAGTATGATTAAATCTGGAGATTGAAATGGAAATTGGAAATGCCATGACCACACAAAGCGAGGCGCTTATCTGCTGTAAATCTGCTCAATCAGTTTGAATGTGTTCAAAATTTTTTGCCAGCTTAAACTGGCCTGCAGTATGCTGGGTCAAGTATTATCCTGTTGTGTCATTTGCTTTGTGCAACTACCTTGCTGACGTCAACTCTGTATGATAACGGTATAACAAATTAGGCTGCCATGGGTGTGTGAGCACGTTTGATGTCAGTTGATACTGCTGGGTGATCAGACAGCCTGGAGGTCAGGGCTTCGTATACAGGCCTTTCCTTCCAGCTATTCACTGCAGCTCCTTGAACTCCAGGTAGTGGTAATCTCTTCCAAGAAAAAAATAGAAATAAAACAGGTGAGAGAAGAAAGTTTTTCTCTTTAGAGACTTGGTCTTATTTTTCTATCATGTTATTTTGTAATTATTTAGAACTCTAGGCTTCACAGAATGGTCCAGGTTGGAAGAGACCTCAAGGATCACAAATGTCCAGCTATCCCCTCCCCTTCCTTCCCTCCCCCCTAAGAGCAAAGCCACCAACCTCCACATTTAACACTAGATCAGGCTGCCCAGGGCCCCATCCAACCTGGCCTTCAGGCTTGGGCACTGAAAATCACCTGCCTTGCAAAGTAATGTGCAAAATACAGAGTTAAGATGCCAGTGGTCTTTATGCAGAGCATGCACTTGGTAAGACTGCCAGACAAGCAGCGGCCTTAGCACAGCTCCTTGTCCCCTGATGGTGGGGCTGAGGTGTCACTACCGGATTACTGCTGTCCTATAACCAAATTTTCTGTGTGTTTTTGTCCTAGTTAAGTGATGAAAGCCTAAAGGCGGATTTTACAGAGTCGGCGTTTTCTTCAAATCTCTCAGTGAGGATTAGCTGTCTTGCTCCAACACCTCAAATTTCAGTTCTCTCAGGTATGCTAATTCATTCCAAGATGCCTCCTAGGGAACTTGACTGGTATTTGTAGTGCTGGTAAAAGCTGTTAGTCTTGGTGTGAGCTAAACAACTACAGCCTTGTTGGAGAAAGAACACTGCTAATTGGCTTTTAACATGGAACAACATCAAAGTGCACTGTACGGTTTGGAAGGAGTCATTTCTTAGGTTTTTGTATTACCATAATTACTCACATGACTATCAGTTACAAAATTGAGGTATTTTTAATTGGAACCAAGCTATTTCTGGAAGTAACTTAAGATTTGTTGCTGGTGTTTTCTGGTCTGTTTTTTTTTTTTTCCTCCAGGCTTGACAGTGCAGAAACCTGTATTACATTTTAAAAATCTGCTTTTCCTTGAATCACCTAAGAACGTGTATTTAACAGATAAAGTCAGCACAGTAGTACGATTTCTTCTCTGTGATGCTGGGGAGTGAATAGGAAGGCTGTCAGGATGGCCTTTGTAGTAGGAGAGCAGAGCAGAATTGGAGACAATGTAGATAGGCTAAGTGTTGTGTCTTGCACAGAAAACAAGTTTTCAGCTCAGGTTACAGTATTCCTGTACAATTGAAACCACTGATAGTTATCAAAATTATACTTTTTTTCCTTAAAAGATCAAAATATACTTGTTTAAAAATCAGCTAGGTTTCATTTTCCCATTCCTGCACTTCAACTATACCATGGCTGGCTGCGTTGTCAAAGTGCTTCTAGCAAGGTCTACTTTGTAAATGCAGTCAATAAAAAATGCTGTTTTGCTGCTATTTTTACAAGAGCTTTGTTCCTAATGGCTGATCTCAACCGGTGTTAAAGCATGGCTTCACAAGGACAGCTATGCAGGAGCTCCCATAGCACAGCTTGAACATGATGTTTCTAATAGTTAATTTTTTCAGTTTCTGTCTTGAGGAGGGGTTGCTGTTTGTGGACTTGCTTTTCCAGACTGCGTGTTTTGTTTTGGATCCCTTCATCACTAAACTTTCTTATCTAAGGAGCAGTTTGAGCGCACGCTGGTTTCCAGGGGAGTTATTCATGGGGAGGTTTGTTGTTTTCCATTGAGATATGCCCAAGGAGAACAACGTCTGGGCAAAGTCTGCAGTCTGCAAGCTTTACTGCTTTTTTCACTAGTGGGGTTTGACATTCCTTATGGTCCTAACTAACAACTCTTTGCCCTGGAAATGAATCCCTTTGATTGTACCTATTCTTAGAATTTTACAACAGCCTTATCTTCCCCGAAGGAGACAGTTGTTAGCTTTGTCGTGGTGTGGTTGATAGTTTCTTCTGAAGAGCACAGACTTCGTGTCTAATCTCTCCGTTCCGAGATGATGGCAGTTCCTATGGAGCTTTTTGTGGAAGGTGTAGGATTCAGTTCAGTTTATTCTTGAATATCTACTGATAGCAGCGCACCCTCCTATATCACACTTCTGTTGCCACTCAACAGAGCTTTCCAATTTTTTTGTTAATCTCCAGTTTTGCAGTAGATCACGTAGGGCCATTGCACGCAAAGGCATTCCTATGAGCTCACTGTGACAGAACTGATTTCCTGTAAATGTTGCCACTTCTGCGTAATGGACTGAAGGTTACTTTAGCCTTTCTGATGGAGGAGTGTCTGACTAAACTGAAACATGCAAGCACGTGACCTTTTATTACTAGCTGTGCGTGTCTTTTTCTTGTCATTGTACTGATTCTGCATGTGTCTTGCTGTAATGTGACTTTCTGTTTACTGGCAATAGAACCAAACCATGAAAACAGTCTGTAGCAGGGCTGTAAGTTACCTATCTGTACCTCATCGAGGCTTGCAGAGCTAGGATGTTTCTGAGCATGCTGACAGTTGGCCACCATTAAAGTCTTAACTGATGTTTGGCTAGAAGAAGCATTCTTTGCAGTTGGTTTATGACTTGGCCTTATCAATGATAGAATTGCTTCCTGGTTGCATAAAGCGAAATCCTTCTTGAAGCAGGACGCAGTGGTGTGTGTATTCAGTTCTTCACTTTCTTCTCACTCCTGCTGAAAATAACGTGCATTTTATTCATGTTGTAAATTAACTTCTTTTTATTATCATCCCCTAACTCTTCTTTGAACCCTTTCTCTTCTTTTTTTGAACAGATGAGTACTCCAGGCCAGCTGTAATTGGACATGCTGGAAGTTTGGCATCATACCCAGATAGCGCTGAAGCTATCAAAGACATTTTGGTGTCTGTTCTAAGCGCATCTGGTCTGAAGCCCTCCCTGCTGTCAGAGCACACCAGCATGCAGGGAGCTGAGCACCCTGACAGCGACCTGGAGCGATGGGAGGAAAGCAGCGATGGGGAGAACGATGACGACACTGACAGTGATTCTGCACATCACAGCACTGCCTGCACACAGACAGACGTTAGGTTTACACGGCACCGAGCCTGCTGGGACAATACAAACTGTGATTCCTCTGGACCTGCCCTGGATACTTTCTTTCATCCACGTTATTCTGACAAGGATCCTGCTACTTCCTCCCTGAATGGTTTCACTCTTTCAGACATATCCCCTTTGAAGCGAGACTGCTTTACACAAGTGACGTTAACGGGTGGCACTGTCACTTCAGCTGTTGTGCATCCTGAAAAAGAATGCCAGAATATTTTCTCTGAACAAGACTTGGCTTTAACAAGGCTTCCTCTGGATTCAACTGTTAGTAAGCCAACAAATCTATTTAAATACCCTGCTGCTTCAGAGCCTGCAAAAGTCAGCACTGCTGACAGCAGTTCTCCCAGTACGTCTTCCCAGTTGGAGCCATTCAGTCAAACAGGTAACTTTACATTTCATAGGTCCCTTACTGTTTTGAGATCTTTGTGCTAGGAATGGAAATATGATGTAAATGTATGCAGCTCAGAAAGGAAATGGTATCCTGGGCTCCATCGGAAGAGGAGTGGGCAACAGGAACAGGGAGGTGATTGTCCCCCTCTGCTCTGCTCTTGTGAGGACCCATGTGGAGTACTGTGTCCAGTTCTGGAGACCCCAGTACAAGAAAGACAGGGAGCTGTTGGAGAGGGTCCAGAGGAGAGCCACGAAGATGATTGGGGGACTGGAGCACCTCCCCTACAAAGACAGGATGAGGGAACTGGGCTTGTTCAGCCTGGAGAGGAGAAGGCTGTGGGGTGACCTCATTGCAGCCTTTCAGTACCTAAAGGGAGCCTAAAAACAGGAGGGGAATCAACTCTTTGAAAGGGTAGATAACAGCAGGACAAGGGGAAATGGTTTTAAGTTGAGGAAGGGAAGATTTAGGTTGGACGTCAGGAGGAAGTTCTTTGCTATGAGAGTGGTGAGGTGCTGGAACAGGCTGCCCAGAGAGGTTGTGGATGCCCCGTCCCTGGAGGTGTTCAAGGCCAGGTTGGATGGGGCCCTGGGCAGCCTGGTCTAGTATTAAATGTGGAGGTTGGTGCCCTGCATGTGGCGGGGGGGTTGGAGCTTCATGATCCTTGAGGTCCCTTCCAACCCTGGCCATTCTTTGTGTGATTCTGTAAATGAAACTGAAATCGGCCCTGCTTACGGTGAATGCTAATGTTGTCATTCAAAATAGGGGGCAGGAAGGAAAGAGGAAGCTTCAAAATGAAGGAGGCATTAAAACAAGAGGCATTCTGGTTTGCAGTACTGCCTGTTGACACAGAAATGCTACTTTGGTATGCAGTCTCCAGTATCATTGATCTGTGATGAATATAGAACATCCCATGGATGAGACTTCCAATTGCTTCATCATTTCTTTGTTACTGCTTTTCTTCTGAAAGCAGATAGCAAATCTGCCGATCTTAGTGTGGACAGCCTCTGTGGTGCATCTTCCTGTGTTTGACATGAACTAGAAGACAGGCAGTTCTTCCATTCTGATTTTGCTTATTTTATTTTTTTGAAGGGAAGGAATTAATGTCTGGTGGTTGGTGACCCTGCATACAGCAGGGGGGTTGAAACTCAATGATAGTTGTGATCCGTTTTAACCCAGGCCATTCTATGATGCTATGAACATCCATTCTTGGTTTGACTAAGGCACTTGTACAGAAACTGGACTATTTTCACTCCTCTTCCCTTTCTCAATTGCACCAGCTGTCTCAAAACCTCTCCAGACCCAGATCAGATTCTCTCTACTTCTTATCAGTCCATATGGATGTCTGTTCTGCAGACTGATGGCTGCTAATGAATTGTGTTGGGCCTCTTTCTGTTCCTGCAGTGTCACGGAACTCAACTTCACTAGATGCTGAATCCCAGAAGGATGGTGCAACTGAAACCTGGTTATTATTTTTTTTCTGCTGGAAAGAGGAAAAACAGGAAGGAGCTGTCAGCCTACCTTTGTGTTCTGTTAAAAAGCAAAGGCCTGGAGGTGACTTTCTGTTAAGCTCTGTTTCCAAGGTCTGATGCTTCCTAGCTGTTTGCTGAAGGCACCTCTCAGGACTCGAGCTGGCAGTGATGCCTCAAATTCCCCTCTGCAGGAATGGGAGCCTTTAATAGTCAGAGCTTTGCCATCTGACACAGGCTGTTGTCAACAGTCAGGACGGCGAAGATGCTGGTTGTTTGCTTCCGTTGGGTATTTTGTTCGCTGACCCAGGCACAAAGTGTTTAAAGCGTGCCAGGTAGAAGCAGGGAGAAGGAAACCACACCCCGTGCTGGGAGCTGGGTTCAGCCAGTCATGCTGGTTTCTGGAGCTCAGTCTGGGAAACAGCCAAGGCTCCAAATGTCATCAGGGACCACAGGGCACGTGTATGAGAGTAAGATGTGTGTGACTCAGGTTTTTGGCACAGGTGGGACGTGTCACAGGTTTCTGTTGGGTCAGTCATGCTCCTGCTTCTCTGCAGAGGGAATATAGGAACACAGCAGACAGGTGGCTGAAGAAGCATGACATTAGTTTACTAACATATAATCCACAATGCTGTGCAATAAGGCAGGCTCTGCATCAGTCCTAGGCTTCTGTTCAGTACAGATTTCATCTTTCACTATTGCTTCTGGCTGTTTAAATCACTTCTGGGTTTTCCAGAATGGGGGTATAGAGATTGTGAAGTGTGATGTGGTTTAATTTTTTTTTCCTTTTATGATAGTCAGGACTATGAGGACAGGAAAAAGAATGGTAAACTGAAAAAGAAGTGCTTAATTTGAGGGCAGGAATGTCACAAAAGGCACCTGCTGTTGGCCTTTTTGATTGTTTTTTTGAAGGTGGTGGATTCTCACTTTTGTTTCTTATTGGAAAACAGGTGGGGGATACTCAAGAAAATGATTTAAATCAGAATACATATTTTTTTTTCAGTGGGATTTAACAAGGCAGCTCCTTCTGCTGATCCTGTAGGACTCCTGCTAAGACTTGTCCCATTTTCACACTTTTAAGGGCTGTTATGCAGTGGCCCCATGAGACGTTCTGGAAAGGCTTCCTGGTGCTAATGGGGAGTGTGTGACAGATTTGTTGAGGCTGCTGTGTCACAGGCATTTCAGGAGACTTGTTCCTGCATTTAATCATTGGGTATGCCAAGGTCATTTCCTTCTGTGGCTGTAAGCACTCCTTCCACAACCTTAGCAGCCTCCAGGCATTGGATGGTGCTCAGGGACAGAAGGCAACCACGTTACTTTGAATCAGACCCAGAGTGAATCCTGATGTTGGATGCACTGGAATCCTTCCCTGTAGACTCTCCGTGCTGCTGGAATATTGAGCTGGCACAAAACTCTCTCCCCAAGCCTTTGTCTGGGAAAGAGCTTTGCCTTGCATGATTTCTGTGCTGCTCACTTAGTTGTTTCATGAGTCCAGAGGTCTGCTGCAATTCTCTATGACATCCTCCATTTGGCACACAGCTTCTTGGACAGAGAATAAAACATTTCACAGTAGTAATTGTTCAGTTAAGTGTCATAGTACAACTTGATTCAGTTGAATGTGGCTCTGGGCAGCCTGGTCTGGTGGTTGGCGACCCTGCGCATAGCAGAGGGGTTGAAACTAGATGATCATCGTGGTCCTTTTCAACCCAGGCCATTCTTTGATTCTATTAAAACCTGTCTGTAGTGATGTATTTTGTGTTTTAAGTGCTTTTACAAAATATGCATTCCTTAGTATGGGTCTTTATCCAGTTTTCTGCCTGCTCTTACAGTTCTCATCCCAACTACATTTGCCTCAGCATGGACATGGCATCCTCCTTTATAGAAAAATGAGGGAAGCAGATTAATTTCTACTGGTAAATCTTCTGAGGAAAACATAAATCTCATTATGACTCCTGTTGAGATTTCCTATTCTTTTAGGTTTTTGTCTGTCCCTGGAACCTTTTTTGTCTGCTTTTTTAGATCTTGTTGAAAATTCATTCTCACAACTTCTTCATTTCTCTGAAGCAGGAAAAAACCAAAACCCTTTAACTCTTAATTTTACCCTTGCTTACATTCCTGGGCAGCTTTAGTAACATGTGACATGCTGGAGCTCTTCCATGGTTTCGGAGAGACCCGTGTGTTCCCTTTTCCCCCTATGTCTGTGTGGCACCAGTCGTCATGCAGTACAGAACTGCATTTTCATACAAAACAGAAGTAAATTGTATTTTAGATTGTGAAACCAGAATTGTTTTTCTGCTTTACACTCTTAAAAGGTGGAAGAAGGGTGAATAACATAAGCAAGAGAGAAAGCTCCATTAGATTTTGCAATTATACATAAATCATAAGTAAAGATAAATTTTTTTCTGTTTCCTTGTTTCTGCTTGTTTTTAAGTAGGAGAATATTTCTTATTATAACTGATAAGAACATTTTAACAAGGGTTGTATCAAACTGTAGGGTCTTTAGCCCTCAGGTACTTCTTTTCCAGAAATATGAACACAGAATAGGTATGGCAATAACCTGATTAGGTGTTGAGTTTGCTTCAGTGATTAAAACTGTTCTGAAGAATCAGATCATCAGCCCCTCCATTATTTCCTTTTGTCCCTCCTTAGTGCATACAGCTTCAGGAAATAAGTATAATGTTCATCACCATTTTAGCAAGTTTGATATGCCGTCTGTGAGTGATTTGAATATAAAACATTAAGGTATGACTTGACACCCTCACTGTTTTGGGAAAGAAGATTGTGACTACATTCATTTATACATAAAGCAGTCCTTGTTACATTGTAAGTCTGCAGATAAAGATATGCCTACTTTTAGGGAATGGTGGAAAGTTCTTAATGGTAAGAGATCAGTTTTTTTTCATAGAATCACAGAAGGGCCTGGGTTGAAAAGGACCACAATGATCATCCAGTTTCAACCCCCTGCTATGTGCAGGGTCACCAACCAGCAGACCAGGCTGCCCAGAGCCACATCCAGCCTGGCCTTGAATGCCTCCAGGGATGGGGCATCCGCAGCCTCCTTGGGCAACCTGTTCCAGTGTGTATGAAAAACTTCCTCCTAATATCTAACCTAAACCTCCCCTGTCTCTGTTTAAAACCATTCCCCCTTGTCCTATCACTGTCCACCCTTGTAAACAGCCATTCCCTCTCCTGTGTTATATGCTCCCTTCAAGTACTCAAGGGAGCATATCCTTCAAGGAAGGATATGGTAACGTAAAGACAGAATTTCCCCCAAACTGCTGTAGTTGCACAAGACCAGCAGTGATTGAATGAGTGCTGTAAGTCTGGACAAAGATTCATCAGATATTGGTGACTTATTATTACTAATAAAGTTCTTGTTATACCCGCAGGTTCTGCTTCCCTTTTGAACATAAGTGCAGTACCCTTGAATCGTACGTTGCAGGACATCTTTGTGCTTCCAGAGGATGTGGAGAAGGTGAGAACAGCAAAAATGTATTCTAATAATGATATTTTCCATTTTTATAGGGATGAAATCACATGACATAAGGCATTTCTCACTAACTGCTGTCAGTTGCCGTCGCCACTGTGGAGACTATACTGTCTGATTGAGTTTAGTTATCAGAAAGTTCTTTTTTTCCTAATCTTTACAAGTTCTGTGTTTTCTTCCTCCCCATTGCGAGTCAACCTACTGACCTAAAATGCCCGTATCTTCATTTGGTTTATCATAATTAAATTTTCTACATTATTTTAAGATAATAGATGTATTTTAGAACTTTTTCTTCTGTCATTTTCACAGAATCACTGAAGGATTGAGGTTGGAAGTGGCCTCTGGAGGTCATCTGCACTGACCTACCTGCTTAGGAAGGGCCAAGAAATATAGAATCATAGTCATCGAGGTTGGAAAAGAAAGGCCTCTAAGATCAGCCAGTCCAACCATCCACCTAGCACCAATATGTTTTCCTAATGAAATTCCACAGGGTCGAGGTTGATTTACTCTTCTGTAACTTTAGAGTAACTATACTAGAGCATGTCACAGTGAATTTTTTGGAGCCACATGCATATGGGTGGGATTTACACATGGTTTTACTGTTCAGGAGGTGGGAAGAGCCTGTTTTCTCTTCTTTCCTTATGAAGAGCATGAGTGATTCCTATAAAAGAATAATAAAATGAGTAATGTGCACTGTAACTGCAACATCTGCAGTAGTTTAAGCTTGGCAGCCCACTTGAACCTATAAACAAGGATAAAGATGACAAGATAGTGCTGTAGCACTTAACTCTGTGTGGTAAATAAGTTCCTGATCTTTTCCAAAAATTGGAAATGGGAAACACTGGAGAAGAGAGGATAGTGTGTACAATTAACTGTAGTGTAATTACAGTAATTCTAGTTGTAGCCTAGAAAAGTTGATTTTCCTGGACAGTAGAAATGTATTTAATCCCATGTCCTGGGCCCAAGAAATAACCTTTGTGTGCAGCATGGGTTTTATTGGAATGGTAAGTTCTGCATTTGATTTGAAGCTCTCAGAGTCCCTAAGGTGCATTTAAAGGAGAGAAGATAAAAGAAAAAAACAAACAAATGAAAAATAGGCTTGTGACCTAGCTTTACGTGTTGCTTTTTGCAAAAAGGTACTTCAGAAGGGAGGTGGTATATTTCTCTACCTGCAGTGTGGGTACCAACGCCAAAATGATTTGCTCTGTCACCAGGAGGCAAGGGAGCAGATTTAAAAACCCACTAAGGCACACAGAGTGTCAGAAGTCTGAGTGTTGTAGTCCTGTGCCAGGAGGGACGTGGGCCAGATGATGTAGGAAAACATCCCACTGTGATGTGAGTGGGAGGGAAGAGAAATGAGAAGCTGAGCTCCTTCCCAAGGTGACAGACCCTAGCAGCAGGCAGAGCTGAAAGCTGATAGTCCTGCTGTGTATAGGAGCACCAGAGTCTGTATTGCTTCGCAATTGCTCTCAGATAAACTCCTAACTGCTTCTGTCAGCAGGACGTGCTGGTATGCTGTGCTCTTCCACTAGCCTGGGGTTAACCAATGTGTGCAGCAGCTTTTGGTTCTTCACAACAGCCTCTTTTCTTCCTAAAAGGAAGAAGTGCATTCATTGCCATTTCCTTTGTTAATGGCATGTCCTGAGATTCACTGAAAGTTGACTCTGGAGGACTAAGCAAGGGGTATTAATCAGCACTAGGTGAAAGATGGAAGTTTCTTTATACCTACAGAGACTTGTGAGATTAATGTGGACAAGAAGAAAGAATTTGGCTCTGGACAATAAGAATGCAATGGAGAGGTCTGCTGTGCTCTATAAGATTTTTAAGCGCCAGTGCCTTTCTTCATGCTTGTAGGAGTTGTCCTGAATACTGACTCAAGTGGTACAATTCCCTGACCTTAAGTCACTCCCAGAATTATTCTGCACTCAGAATCTCTCCCTTTAGGTACTGCCATGAGAGCTGAGAGGTTTCATTTTGAACAGTGCAAGTACACACAGTAGAGGGGAGAGAGGGAGGGTATGCTGAGCTTCCACACCACCCATCAGATCTGGGAACCTGCAGTCTGTTTTATAGCCTATCCCTTCTGGCCTCATGCATGTTAGCATGCGTGCAAAACTGCTTGTACTCAATTGGCAGTGGTGCCATGACTTGAAATTAAATCCTGTTAAATACACTGCATGGATTAATGTTTGCATGTTAAAAAATGCAGTGTAACTAGAAGCCCAAAAATGCATATGTATTAATCAGTTAGGCATGTAATCAAGTTTCTTTTTATCTAAAGATGGGCAAGATAAAAGTAAATTGTGTATTTTAATCAAGGCTGAGACAATTATCTGGGCAGTTGCCTTTTGAGTATTGTCTCCAAATTGCCCTTGGGGTGGTTTTTTTGAGTGTGTGAATGAAAGGTGAAAGAGCTGTGCGTTTTCATTTCTTGAATAGGAAAAGCATGTGGAAAATGACACGTTTAATGTTCCCTTAAGTGAATACTGAATATACAGCACACTATGAGTGTTCCTATCTTGTGTCCAGGAGAACGCCCACTTCTTTGTTGCGGATATGATTATAGCATCCCTGGAAAAGATGAAATGTAATATCCTAAGCCAGCAAGCAGAGTTTTGGGGTATGGATGAAACGAGCGGGTCAGATGGCAGCTATCACACTGATTCAGAGTTATCTTCTTATCCTGGAGAAAAGAAGTCTGATTCTTCTGTTGCCTCCACAGACAGCGGTTATGAAGGCAAGTTACTTCGTCTATAATGCAACCTTTTCTGACAGCCATTGCTGTTCATTCTTGTGCAAGAAAGTACCAAATGAACATGGGCATTGCTTGCAACCACATCCCCTTGCCTGCTTTTTTGAGTCACTCGGTACTTAACCAGAGTTACACCAGAGGAGGTTTAGGTTGGATATTAGGAGAAACTTTTTCTCTCAAAGGGTGGTCAGGCACTGGAATGGCTGCCCAGGGAGGTGGTGGAGTCGCCGTCCCTGGTAGTGTTCAAGAGGCGCCTGGATGAGGAGCTGTGAGATTTGGTTTAAATCCTCATTTGCAGGATTTGAAGGATAGCTCTTTCCTTCTATGCTGAATTCTGCAGTTTGCAGATCAGGCCATGCAATTGATTTGAGTGAAATTGCCCTGAGTATTCATGTATGTTTAGTTTGAGGCAAGTTAATAAGCGTTCCTGGCACTGTAATGCTCGTGTCAGCACATGCATTTTTAAGTAGATGTAAATCTCTTGAGTAATACAAGACTTAGGGGTGTAACTTAAGTCTAAATGACAGCTTCTAGGGAAAATGAATGGTGTGCACTTGAGGAGGCTGCTGTTAAAACTTTTATTTTAGTTTCAAGAAGCTTCTCCCTAAGAAACCAGGAAACATGCTATGTGACAAGCTCCCAAGAATCCACTCTATGCATCTATAAGTTGTTCTGCAGATAGAGGCTGTGTGTTAAAGTTTAGGGAAGCAAAGAAAAGCTGTGTGTGTAATTGCAACTACTCTGTACATGTTGGATAGCTTTATTGGTGCCTTCTTTGTTCTGGGCAGGCTGTGCCCTGCTGATGGGCAGCTCCTCAGTACATCTACCTCTGCATCATGAGGCTACTGGACTTCCTTGCCACAGTGACTCAGAGGATGAATATGTCATTATTGGTAAGACTTTAATTGCAAAAACAGCTTTATTGTTCAACTGAGTATGTTGCATCACTTGGAATATTTATTGACTTAGTAAGTGCAGAGATTGAATGGCAAAATGGAAGGAGCTGTGTAGGTGTGAGTCTTGGTAGAAAACATGCAGAAACTCCTGAGTGGTGCAGGATTTCCTCTCTATAAATGAAATGTCTTTGATTACAGCTGTGCTTAAAGCAAATTAATTTGGGTGAGCAAATGTGTAATGTGATGTAGCAGTATCATTTGGGAGAATTTAGGACACTATGTTATCAGTTTAACTAGAAAATGATTAGGTTTTAGGCAGCTCTACCTCTGATCTTGCACTAGAGCAGACTATCACTGTGCCTTTAATTGACAGTGTTCTGCTCTTCTTCAGGGAGCCCAATATTTCTCTGCTTGCCTTCTGGTTTTTACATATACAGAAATATGAACGCTTACAAGCAGCCTGGGCAATGTTTAACTTCCATCTTCCATTTCCTGTTAACAGATTATTATTATTTTTATTCATGTCATAGCTCTGCAGAAGATCAGGCTCCTTGTGCCTTTTTTACAACCTTAGTTTATTTCCCACGTCTAACAAGGGTGCTGTAAAGATGAATGTATTTGACACCTGTATTAAAACAGAAGATAGATATAAAACAGTGCTGAGTAACAGAAGCTTTGTTTCATGGATAATTTGATAATGTTTTCTCCTTTACCACAGAACTTGAACACCTTGAAAATCTGTCTGTGACCTCAAATGAAAGGTAATGCTTTGTATTTCAATGTAATAGCCCTTGCCATTTAGGCCCAGTGCAGTGGCACTACCTTTTTTGCTGGGCCTGGTGACTCTTCAAGATGGGTTAGGGAAAGGTGTGGGAGTGGAAAGTTAGGTACTCACCAAGAAAGAGGAAGGAATGCTGCTTGACAGCAATGTTTCTGTGGTACTTGGCTTCATAGAGCATTCATCAGGTCCTGGAGTCTTGCTGGAGGGTGGTGTCTGTGGCTCTTCGAGGGCCTGGGTGTGTCAAAGCAAGGGAATAGGAATGAAGGGATGGGAGACAGCTCTTCAGGGATGCAGAAGAGGCAGTGGAGTCATGCAGCAGTGTCATGCTGCCATTTTTTCACTGTCTTTATTGCTTAACTTTCAGATCGTCCTTTGAACCAGGCAGCAATTCTGCTGAAGCAACAGCTCAGGAATTGTGCAGAGCTTTCAGAAAACACTGGTTGCAAACAGAATCTGCAGTGCAACTGTCTGGGTGCCTGGGCTCATCTAAACAGAAAGTGAGTCTGAGCTGAGAACAGCAAGCTCTTTATTCTGCTCCCCAAGTAATTATCTCACTGGAGTTCTCTCCCTGTTATGGGTAGTGGGAAGCCCTTCTCTTGGAATTGATGTGAAGGAATGTAAGTGGGGGGATTGCATGCATGTCAAAACAAAAGTTTTTAAAATCCTGAAGTATAAAGGGAGAAGACTTCTGTCATTTGACATATGTCTGGGTATGAACATATGGCTGTTCATCTTCATGAGTTTGTTTTACCCAATAGTCTGTGAAAGAAGAGATTCCAAGGGAGCTTGAGTCCAGTTTGAATCTGGCTGAAGAAATAAAGCTGCTGTCCAAATTAAGAGAATCTTCTGGCTGGTCCCCACCAAGATCTCAGATTATATTTAGCATTCACCCTTCAGTCAAGTAAGTCTAATTAAGTGAGTACTGTCAGTATAGCAATGGAGGCTTGTCTAAAACATGCTGAAATTAACAGAAGGAGCCTGGGTGATTTAATAGAAGCTAAGATTAGAGCTATTGCATGGATAGTATAGCTTTCTGCAGTGTCCGTCAACAGCTTTGGAAAGCAGATGGCACATGTTTCCCCTCTGTTGGCACACCTTGATTAACACAATGTGGGCAATTTTACATGAAGGGTATGCAGTACACAGTCCTGTGGGGAGGGGCTAAGGGGTTGAGGTGATTCAGTCTGGAGAAGAGAAGGCTTAGAGGGGACCTCATTGTTCCCTACAACTCCCTGGAAAGGAGGTTATGGTGAGGTAGGGTTCAGCCTCTGTTCCCAGGTAACAGTGGTAGGATGAGAGGTGATGGCCTCAAGTTGTACTGGGGGGCATTCAGGTTGGGTATTAGGAAGAATTTCTTCTCAGAAAGAGTGGTGAGGCTTTGGCACAGGCTGCCCAGGGAGGTGGTAAAGTCACTGTCCCTGGAGGTGTTCAGAGAAAGATTCACTGTCCAGGAAAACTGTCTTGCAGGTTGAGGAAAATGATAATAAAACTGCATTTCATAGTGGAAAGTGTAACCATTTATCTCTGTATGCAGGAGAGATGCAGTGGTTGCTGCCCAAAACTTTACATGTGTTGGTTGTGGAACCCCAATAGAAAGCAGTAAGTATTATCACAAGATAAAAGAAAAAAATATATTTGTAAGTGATAATCAAGCTATAATACTTATAGATACAGCACAGTTGTAAAATCTGTTTGAGCTAGAAGGAAAATCTCACTGCTGGCTGTGCCTACAATAAAAGGGGCAGTGTAGCCCACTGCTCAGAATTTGTTATTGTGGACAGAATACAATACTTGATACTTGAAGTCCTTGTGAGGCATAGTTAAAATTAGTGACAGTCAACAACAAAACAGGAAAAGCTATAAACGATTAAGCCTTCAGGCTGGAAAATACTATTTCTACAATTTACAAGAGTTTCTTTCAATAATTCTTTCTCTCTTTTCAACTTACACATTTCCAGAAATCTCTAAAAGCAAGCTGTTGAAACGTGTAGCTTTGTTCTTTTGGGCATTTTTGTTTGCTTGTTTTTTGGTTTGTTTTTTGGTGTTTTTTTTTTTTTTTTTTTTTTCTTTTAATCTTGATCACAAAATCCTACTTGTCTGAGGAGTATTTGTGGTACTTTGTGAGAACTGCTTGACAGCATGGTGATTTTCAGGTCTGGTAACCAGTCCTTGTGTAAGAAGTCTTTGAAATGGCTTTCAGGACCACTTGGAAGGGTCTGGATCAGTTGACAAAGCAGCATTTGTGGTGGCCTGTAAAGTATGAAGAATCTGTGATGGCACACGAACTTGAGCAAGCATAAGATGCTGAGAGAGCTAGGAAAAAAAAATAAATACTTATTACAGAAATGTAACACCAAGATCAGTATGTTTTTTCTGCTCAGTGGAAGTATTTTGCTGCTCTTTTTTTTTTTTTCTTTTGAATTTGTGTTTTTTGGTGGTGTTTGTGTTTTGTTGGGTGAAATAACAGTGGAGTCTCCAAGACTTCATGGCGATGAATACAGTAAGTTCTGTTTGATAGATGTTGAAATGAGGAAAACCTTTCTTCTAATGCAAAACACGAACCACGTGAATGCGTTTACCACAATAACAACTCCTCCACTTTGAGAATAAATAAATACAAGGAAATTCCTTGCCCTCCACTCCATTAGATATGAGCTATTGAGACAGAATGAGCATACAGACAAAAGGTACGTCCCCCAAATATTCACAGTGTCATTGCTGTCTATTTTCCTGCAGAATACATCAGGAGACTCCGCTATTGTGACTACCTGGGGAAATACTTTTGTGACTGTTGCCACAGTTACGCTCAGTCTGCAATTCCTGCTCGAATACTCATGAAGTGGGACTTCAAGAAATATTACGTATGCAACTTCTCCAAACACCTCCTGGATAGCATCTGGCAGCAACCGATTTTCAATGTGTCGTCTATCAACAAAGCCCTCTATACAAAATCTAAGGAAATGGACAGAGTGAGGGTAAGTGGCACGGATTTTCTTTTGTTTTTAAAGTTGTGGATCTGAGACTTTTTGGGAAGAGCTCTTCAGAGCTGGTTGTCCTTTGCTGTGTGTGGGGGAAGGAGGCTGAGTTGTGTTTTCTGCACTGACGCTTGTTTCATCTCCACTTTTGGGACTTGTCCTCTCTGCCCACAGATAATGAGGGAGCAGGGAGAAGTCTCCAATCTGTGCCAGAAGTTTCATTTCTCCCTGTCTTTGGGAGGCATTTCCTTAATCGATTTCAGTTCACTGAATAGCTGGGCTTCTGCAGTAAATAATTGCTTCTGCTTGGCAGTTGGCTGTTGGAGAGCTCCGGAAGTTTTGAATGACTCCATAATTTTATGAGCCACTTGAAAAACACCCTTGACTCATCTGAAGGTTGTACTTCGTACAAGGAGGGCTGCTTTGCAGAAATTCCAAGCTGCCTTCTTGTCTGAAGAGGCTGATGCTTGTTATTACATGGGTTTGGATCTGGCACCTTGGTGAGCTGATGCAGAGCAATTGGCACTACCAAGAATTGTTTCTCTTGTCAGTGAATAAAAGTAGGCTCAGCATTCCTTGTGCCTTCATGCATTAGAAAATCCACTTGTTAAATTTTGTGCTGAGTGTGAAATTCCTTCTTTCCAATTACGAATGATATACTGATGAGTTCCTGACTGTTTTTTCTTACTTATAAGTTATACTCTTTCATTTACAAATTGTTTTGTTTCTTCTTTTCGTTTCGTAGGAGGCACAAGAACAGCTTTTTCATTTAAAGAAGCTTTTGAAAACCTGCAGGTTTGGTGAAAGGTACAGGCCATGATCATGCATGAAAAATAGCTTATAAAACATACATACATATGATAGTCGTAGAGTCGTCTTCTCTAGAGACATTTGAGTGCAATTTTCAATGAGCTAATCTGATAATCAGAGAAAAATCTGATAACAGAACTTCCTTTCCTCTGTTGCACTGCAAATGTTGAGTGAAGAGCAGCTTTTAAGTGGTAGCTTTCTGTTTCTCAGAAATCCTGAGACATTTAGTTGTGCAAGTTGAGTGATTTTTGCTAGGTATGTATTTTTGTTCCTGCTTTGTATGTCTTTGCTTGTCACTGGCTCCTAAAAGGCCAGATATTATCTTCCTTTCTGACATTGTTTGTCATATTGAAAAACCAGCAAGCAAAAAAACGAGATCAGTACATGTTTAAAGATTCCTTCTAGAAATCTGTCATATGCTCAGTTCAGTTTGTTGTATCCAAACATTAAAATGAAAGTAGTAATCCAATGTGAGAAATGCTGGAATATGAGAAGGCGTAAAGCTCATCTTGCTTATTGCTGCAACTTAAAGATATTTGGTGTACGCCTTCCCAAACTAAAGGCATAAACAGTGGTTAGACACGTGAATGATGAAATCACCACAGAATTGCTGACATCTTTAAAAACAGCCATGAGCAAAATAAGCTTTAAAAGTAAGTTTTGTTATCGCTTCAAGATGGGTTTTTTAAGAAAATCATCAGTTGCGTGTTGCTCATCAAAATGAAATAGATATTTTAATGTCTTTCTTCTGCACAACTTTGTGATTATGGAAATAAGCATTAAGATCTTCACTGCACCTTCTGTATTGGCCATATGTGGGACATTTTAAAAGTAATAGTCGTATTTTCAGTGTTCATGTTGCTAGCACAAGTGCAGATTACCTAGTAGCAATCTACGCTGTATAAAAACCCTCATTAGCAAACAAAAAGTAAATAAGCCAGGTTTATTGCACTGGATATGGTGTGGGATTTTACGTGCTGAAAGAGGACAGATTCCTTTATACATTATTTGAAGATTTCTGGGATAACTGCATATTGCTGTGTGCCTAACGAATGCACACTTAAAATAGACATTTTATTCTAAGTCCCAAACCCTCAGTTTTTGTTAATGTGATCTAGGATTGGGAGGGGAGGAGGTGGTATTTAGCAGGGATCTGCTTTGTGTGATCCCTGAGTGACTGGAGAAGTGAAAGAGGCTTATTCTGAAAATATACTTGAAGGTCATCTTTTATAACTTGATGTGGATTTTCTGGTTTTCTTTGCAGTGTACTGAAAGAATTTGAACGGGTCCCCAGCCATCTGACAGAGGAGCTGCATCTCTTCTCATTGGATGATCTGGTGAAGATCAAACGAGGGCAGTTACTGCCCCTTCTTAAAGAAATTCTGAAGAGCTCCACCTCTCATGTTGATGGCTGTGAGGTAAAATAGAGTTGGTCCTCTTGGGTCCTTGGTGTGAGGAATAGCCCTGTTGACATTCCCAAGTATTTATTTTTTTTCTTGGATTAAACTTAAAAAGTAAACCAACTTTCTTCTCACTCTTGTAGCTCTGTCAAGCAAAGGGATTCATCTGTGAATTCTGTCAGAGCGCAGATCTGCTCTTTGCATATCAGATTTCCAAATGCAAGAGGTGCACAGGTATGTTCCAAAGCAAACACTTTTCCTCCTTCCTCGTGTAAAGCTGTTCCAATTGTTATTGTGGGAAAGGACTGAGAACTTGCGTGTGTGTTTGAAAACTATGGATAGTGTGCATATTTGGAACCAGCCTGTAGTGGCTGTCTTGCACCAGGAATTTCAGAGGGTGAAAACTGGGACTTGCCTGATCATAATTACAGCTGCAGGGGGAGGTCGGATCAGTGCTGTCCTGCTGCTATATCACATTTCGCCAACATTCATTGTAAATCCTGGGAATCTTACCAAAACATTTCATCATAGTTGTTACAGTGGTTATTGTTGCCTTGGTTTTATGCTGCTTCTGTTTACTTTTACACTTGGGTGAACTAGGCAGGACATTCTTAAAGGAATGCAGCTACTGATTCCTTTTTTGTTAAACTGCTTGTGTTTATAAACAGAATGCAAAGCATGCTTTCACAAGGCCTGTTTCAAGGCTGGAGGCTGCCCCAAGTGTCTGCGGATCGCAGCTCGGAGGACGCTTTCAGAAACTCCATCATCGGTGCCTCTGTGAAACTGGATTCCTCTGATGGTTGCTCAAAGCCAAGTCTTCAGGTGCATGACTAAGAATTGAATAATGTTGTTTTAGACATTACTATTTTTAATGCGTGTTTCCTTTAGGGGAAAAAAAGAAAGGAAAAAAAAAAGAGAAGGCCTTTAATATCATCATCCTTAAAAACTCTCCCTAAAGGAGTTTCATCTTTACTGGTCACAGAAAGACTGGATGTTAATTCTGGGAGCAGCATTTTCGTGCTGTTTTATATGTAAGATTTTTAATATTGTATTTTTGCCATGTGAAAATGATTCTTCTCTGTAATTATGCAAATAATGTATGTATAGATAGTAAACAAGTCTTGGAAATCCTTACCTGTGTCAGATTTTGGAAATAGAAAACGTGGTAAAATATGAAGTCATTTTCTTGTAAGATCTTACAGTACAAAAAGCTTGTCTGCAAGCTTTACATAGAAGCTGATCTGAAGTTCTCTTCTGGCAAACACTTGATGTGAACTGTGGATTGTAAGTTTGTCTTTTAAACTGACTTACAGCAGCTTGAGGTGGGTTTACATCTGCTTGCTGCCAGACACCCACCCAACTGCTCTGTCATTCCCTCTTCTCAACAAAACAGAAAGAGGAAGTAAGATGGAAAAGCTCATGGGCCAAGTTAAAGACAGGCAGATCCTTTAACAATATCACAGTCAAAACATACTGAACTTGGATAAAATCAACTTTATGTATTGCCAATTAAAAATTGAGTTGGAGGGTGAGAAACAAAGATGACAATACCAACTTCTCCCCTTCCCCTCATTTTTCCCTTAACATTACTCTTCATTCCAAATGCTTCTCTTTATTTCCTCTCATCCTAAGCAGTGCAAGGGAATAGGGGTGCTGGTCATGCCATAACACCAGAAAACTGCTGCTCCTTCCTCCTCACACTTTCCCCTCCCATGGGATACAATTCTTCACAAACTGCTCCAACAGTGGGGCTTTCTCACAGACTGCAGTTCTTCAGGATAAGCCTGTGTCTGCCTGGCTCATCATAGGCCATACCCACTGTCTCCACCACAGTCCTGCCCAGAGAAGCCTCAGATCCTGCAAGCACATACTTAAAGCTGTGCTCTCTCCACCAGGATGCTCTTAATATTTTGAATTTGTCATTTTCATTTTGCATTTTATTCTTCCTGTCCCTGCCTTCTGGCTCCAGTATTTTGTGAGGAAAAGGACAGCTGTCTGTAACCAGGCTCTTTTTAAGTCCACCTCCACGCTAGAACTCAAAGTATGCAGAAGTAGGGATCTTGCCAACTGTTCCACTTAGCTATTTTTTTCTGTGGCCAAAACCAGATTAACTACTTACTGCTCAAGCAAGATTATCATCTCTTACTCAAGATCACCAAAGGGATAGTGACGTAGAGTAAGATGTGATGAGAAGAAGCCTGCTTATATAGCTGACTGTATTAAATGAGATTTTACTCTTGCATAACATTGAAATTGGGTGCACAACTAACTGAATCACATGAAAAGCCTTGTTGTAGGGATTTTCTTACAAAGGAGCTCACTTGAATAATCCTTCCGTGGGTTAACCTGTGGGGTAACTTATATCTTTTTCATTATTCACATATTTTGAAGAGCTAATCTGGTTTCTGGCTGTGCTTTTCACAAAGCTTGAGATAGACAGATGTACATAGTGGGGGGCAAGGGGGGAGCCAGAGGGTGAGTTTCACATTTTACATCCACTCAGTTGAGTCTAGGTCTCCATAGAGCATGTACAGCTTATCCTGACTAATCATAGCTAAGTATCACAATGTGAACTCAGCATTTCCTCATCAGTTGAATATAGTTAATTACAAGAGAGTATCCTTGATGAATTTGAGTAGTTAGAGGAAAGACCCAAAAGAATCACTACTGCTGTAGGTCAAGTAAAACTAGTAAAAACGTTCAGCTGGTGACAATAAAGCATGAAGGACCTGCTGGTCGCAGGGTGGAAGCAATAACAGACTATTTGCTATTTCGGGGGAATGGACTGAAGAGGGTCAAGACAGGAGTATGCTGAGACTGTAGTTTGTTTCTGTAGTGAGAAGAAAAGCATGGGTGACTAAAGCCTGTACCTATGATGTGTTCTTAGTGCCGCTGAGGTGAGTTTCTTCTTGTCAGCTGCCATCCTGGGATAGCACAAAACAATGAAATCAAAACTGAAAACGTTTCTCAGTATCTTTTTTGTGTTTGGTGACAACGTGGCTTTGGCAGGAAGGAGTGATTTCTATGCTGTGTCCCCTCTACGTGTCTTTAGGGCATAACTAATTAGACTGTGTAGGGATGGGGTTAGGAAGGCTAAAGCCCAACTCAAACTAGACGTGGTAAGGGGTGCAAAAAGGAATAAGAAAGGCTTCTGCAGGTACATCAACCAGAAAGGGAAAGCCCCTTGCTACTCCAGAAGGAGTACCCTTGCAAATACAGCAATACAGGTAGGCTGGGAACAATGGAGAGAGTTGGGGCTGTTCAGCTTGGAGGAGAGAAGGCTGCAGTGAGACCTAAGAGTAGTCTTTCAGTTGCTAAATGGGGCGATTACAAGAAAGAAGGGGACAGAATCTTTGGCAGGATCTGCTGTAATAGAATGAGAGAAAATGGTTTCAAACTAGAACTGGTGAGACTTAGACTGGATAATAAGGAAGAAGTCTTTTATGGTAAGGGTAGTGAAACACTGGAACAGGTTGTCCAGAGAGGTGGTGGATACTCCATCCTGGAGACATTCAAGGTCATGCTGGACAGGGCTCTGAGCGCCTGCTCTACCTGTAGGTTTCCCAGTTCATTGCAGGGGAGTTGGATCAGTTTACCTTTCAAGATCCCTTCTAACTCAATTATTCTATGAACTGTGTTCTCTGAATCAAGTTGTGAAGTTGGGTGTTGTCCTGAGAAGCTTAATATTATTGAGCATGTCTCTGTAAGTAAGTGTTGGAGTTTAATTTTTTATGAGGTTAAACTAGACTATAATGCAGATCCAAGGTAAAAACTGATTAAGAAGCAACAGCTATATGGATCTGGCTACAGTGAGTTTCCTGCACGTGGAGATCTCTATGAATTTAAAGAAGGGTTAGACTGTCTTTTCAAGGGGCCAGGCGAACTGTTAGCTGGAAAGATGGATGTGTTCCACATAGAACACCGATGCAAGAGATACAATTCTTCAGCTATTGCTCAGGCAAGGTGGACCATTGCCCGTTCTTTACAGTGGTATTCCACAATGCCACGTTCACACAACAGGAGCACTGCTGAGGATTCTACTGGCTGTATGCTCTTGGAGACACGAGACAGACAAACCTTTTCCTGGTAGCTGCCTGTCTCATTCTGCTAACAGAATTCAAGACAAGACAGTTTAATTACTAATTTCCATAGGAACAGGTTTTCGAAGGGTACAAACAACTCACTCTTGCTGCTAACAGTTTTTACCTGATTTTGTAGCAGTTTTGTTTATGCTGTTACATGTATTTTTCATTTAGTTTCAATTCTAAGTGGTCCAGAGGTGGAAGTGCTTTGCTAAGACTTTGTACAGTGCTTTGCAGCCAGGATCTTTCACGATACAGCATACATCTGTTACTGTCAATAATAGAATAATATTAATTGCTTAGTGTGGAATGGACTCACATACATAGGTCTTGCTGTAAGCAAATACATTGACTAATTAAGGGGCTTTATAGAGCTGTACAATTCCAGGGATGCCTGTCACACCCATTCACTTCAAGAGAAGAAAATATCTATGTGTTTTATTAGAAATAAAATCTGCTTTAGTTGGCTTGGCCATAATTACGCCACATTGTCCAGTGCAGATATCCATGTCGCAGTGCCCAGAACCACTGCTTAATTTGCGTGTTACAAACACTACTAGAATCATAGAACCATAGACTGGCCTTAGTTGGAAGGGGACTCAAAGATCATCTATTTCCAACCTCCTGCCATGGGCAGGGTTGCCAACCACTGAATTCAGTGTTAGATCAGGTTGCCCAAGGCTCCATCCTACCTGGCCTCGAACACCTCCACAGATGAGGACTGCCAGAATCCAACAAGCACTGGCATCTCACCATTTTCTCTTCCTCCCACAGTGCAGATTTCCCCTTAACGTATTGCTTTTATTCTTATTTGCCATCAAACCAAACCCAGTGCTGGCCTAGTAACAACTGGGACTGACCAGCTGGGGGAATGCAGGGCTGAATATATTCCCTGAGCATGCTGAAGACATGGGAAGAAACAGCAAAGCACCAGCTGCCTGAAAAGCCAGCTCATTTATACAGAAGAATCAGAAAGTAGTTGAAGAAATAATCCAGCTGTTTCTGGTAATCAAGAGCCAGCTTCTATACTGTAGAGTTTGTGGGTCTTACAGTGAATATATCTATGAAAACACCATGGGGTACCTATGTAGGTGTGGGCAGAGATGCTCTGATGGTATGAGCAGAACACCATATAGAGAAACCTGACAGAAGGGAGTAGTGACAGTTGGACACCAAAGCAACCTGAGTGTTCATGGCAAAGATTTGTGTGGTGGTGGTGCTCATTCTGTGGACCTGGAGTGGGCATCCACTTCCCTTTGCAAATGCACAAGGAGTCAGACGTCAACAGCCTGGATCCAGTAAAAAAAAAAAGATGATGAAATCAGGTTTAAGGTGGAATTGAGTCAAAAATGGCTATTTACAGAGGCCTAAATTCCCATGGTTCTTTACAGTAATGTTCTTTCCATGCCTAGAGGTCTTCTCCTCAGATCCTCAGGTCCTCATTGGAGCAGCTCGGCACTAGTTTCCTGCCTAGGTCTCTTTTACTCACTTACTCACTTACTAAACCATTATTTGTCTCTTTACATCCCAGCAGAATTTCCTTGAGGTATAGTGATTATGATAATATAATACAATATGAATGTACTTCATGGAGGGACTGGTTTCTATATGTGAAAAAAACCTAAGAAAAAGGAGGCAAGTTCATTGCGGTGGTGTCAGCCAGAATAAGAAAAAGGAAGAAAGAAGAAGGAAGTGGAAGAAAGGAGAAAGAAGAAGAAGAAAGTAAGAAGTAAGGAGGAGAAGAAGAAAAAAAAGACACAAAGCAGAAGGAAGGTGGTGGTGTGGTCAGTCCAAAGCAAGCCAGTAACTATGAAGCAGTGAAGCAGCTGAGAAATGCTGCTCTTGTGTGTTAAGGAGCATGGTGTGGGAAGGGAGAATTTATTTGCCTCACCGGTAACTGGAAGATGTTTTCCTGTGCTCTCATCTCAGTCCAATGCTTACTGTAAATCGAATTCCCTCTTTCAATTTTCTCAGA